TATTCTTATATTATTATTATTAATTAATTATTGTATTATTTATTATTTTTTTATTATTATTATTAATTATTATTCTTATCATTATTATTATTATTATTATAATTGGTGGTATTATTATTACTATTATTATATTATTGTTATAATTATTATATAATTATTATAATTATCATTATTTAAAATTACGATTATTTATTATTAATTTTATTACTATTATTATAATTATTATATTATTATTTTATAATTATGATTATTTTATTATTATATTATTATCGTTATTATAATTATTATCATTATTATAATTATTATAATAATTATTATTATTACTATTATTATAATTATTGTAATTTCATTATTATTATTATTAGTATTATAATTATATATTATTATTATTATTATTATGATTATTATTATTATTATTACTATTACTATAATTATTGTAATTATATATTATTTTATTATTATTATTATTATTATTATAATTATTGTAATTATTACTATTATAACTATTATATTATTATATTATTATTGTTAGTATTATTTTATTATTGTTATAATTATCATTATTATTACAATTATTAATATTATTATATTATTATAATTTTTATTATAATTATTATTATTGTTATTATTATTATTATTATAATTGTTAGTATTATTATTATTACTATTATTATTATTATTATTATTATTATTATTATTGTTCTTGAGGGCATTGAAAAGCCTACTGTTAATTACTTTATCTCCTCAACCGTACTCCCAAGACACCGCATTCGTTCTTCATGTCTGCGATACTCCAAACAGATGTGAGATGTGCTATAGCTCAACTAAAAAACTCACCCTCACTCGACTTCTATGGTATGACGAGTGCTATGATGAAAATAGCCAGTGAGGATTTCATTGAACCTTTAACAATACTATTTAATAAGTGTGTTAATGAAGGCGTGTGGCCTGATGCTTTTAAATTGTCAAAGGTCATTCCCATTCATAAGAAAGGGAATGAAGATAATCTTGATAACTATAGGCCCATCACAATAATTCCATTAATAAGTAAATTATTCGAAATTGTAGTCAAAAGAAAAATTAATAAAGTACTTTGAAAAGCACTCCCTCCTTTCAGCTTCACAATTTGGTTTTCGGAAGCACTGTTCAACCATAAAAGCCATGCTTAGTTTTCTTGAGGATGCTTTAGAGTGCATTGACAAGAGAACCACCGCTCTAGCAACTATGTGTGACTTAACCAAGGCTTTTGACTGTGTAGACACAGTTATACTGCTTGACAAATTGGAGTACTATGGGATCCGTGGCAAGTCATCACAGCTTATGAGATCATACTTAGTTAATAGGAGACAGATGGTTAGCCTTGATGGGGTAGAATCCCAGGTTCTACCGATTACGAACGGGGTACCCCAGGGCTCTGTCTTGGGCCCTCTATTATTTTTAATATACATCAATGACCTACCACAAAATGTCAACAATAGCAAATGCTACCTTTTTGCAGACGACACTACTCTGCTCTCCAGGGCTACCCAACTTGGCGAGGCCCACAGTCTCGACCAGGTTAAGCGGTGGTTCTCCGCAAACAAGCTCAAACTCAATGAAGCGAAAACCAGTAAGCTAAGAATAACATCAGACAAATGGAATGAGACTTCATCATCCGTAAAGTTAATTAGGGATCGTTGTGGATAGCCGCTTGACCTGGTCGGAGCATGTGGACCAGGTGTGTACCAAGATTTCCCGACAGATGTTTATCATGAGGCAACTGGCTCAGTGTTGGCACAGACAAACCATGAGAACTGTATACTTTAGCATCATTCATAGTCATCTGACCTATGGTATCATCCTCTGGGCTAATTCTGTCAAGGCCCAAAAAGCATTTATAATGCAAAAGGCTGCTATACGGATTGTAGCTGGCGTCTCCTACGATCATACGTGCCGTGGTTTGTTCAAAGAGATGCGCATACTGCCGTTAGCATGCCTGCTCATACATGAGACCCTTTTACATGTTCACGCAAAGCTGAGTACTTTTTCGATAAGATCAGAGACACACAGCTATATACAAGATACGCTAATGATATATCATTACCGCAATCTAGGATCGCCATGACACAACACAATAAGATTAATGTGTCGCTTTACAATAACTTTGTTAGATATCATAAGCGGTCCAATATTGAGAAGATGTCTAACAAACAGTTCTCTAGGTTTGTCAACAACTATTTGTTAAAAAACTGCTTCTACACTGTAAGTGAATATTTAAGTGCATGTGATCCTAGTGATCAGTGATCGTGTGTAGAGCAAGAAGACAGGCTCTGTATAAACTTTATCTAGTTTGTGACCTCAAACATGTAATTATTATAATTATCATTATCATTATAATTATTATTATTATTATTATGATTATTATTATTATTATAATTATTATTATTATTATTGTATATGTAATTGTTATTATTATATTATAATATTATATTATTATTTATTAAATATTATATATCATATTTTATTATAATGATTATTGTTATTATTATTATAATTCTTGGTATTATTATTATTATTTATTATTATTAGATTATTATTTTTATAACTATTATAATTATTATTATTATTATAATTGTGATTATTATTATTTAATTTTTTATTATTATTATTATTGTAATTATAATTATTATTATTATATTTTATTATATTATTATATTAATTTATTATATTATTATAATTATAGTAATTATTATTATTATTATTATTATAATGATTATTGTTGAGGATAGGTAAGCAGAGCAATTCAACTCGCAGTGGTCTTCGGTTCAGAACAGTTTATTCAGTACTTGTACATGAATGGGTAGATAAGCTACAGGTGTAGACCGGGCTTCCGCGTTCCGCGATCCGCGCGCGTGTGCTGGCTGCTGTTGTACTTCGACTGCTTCCCACGACTGACTCTTCACGACTGACTGCATTCCGGTGCGGCGCGCGGGGACAGGACGGCGGTTACAAGCTTCTAGGTTAGGCAACCTGTCTGGTCGTCTCGCCAGTAGCGGCGCGGCGGGGGTGACGCTAGTACGCGTTCCAACACTTCCCCTCGAGACGTAGCAGACACATACAGGTTCTGGTCCGTCGTCTGTAATCCCAAAAGTTCCATGCACTTCCGATGTTTTGTCCTCGACAACCCCTTCGTCAATACGTCTGCGGCCATTTCAGAAGATGGAGTATGCTTCAACTTAAACTTCTTCTGTTCCAAGGCCTCCCGCACAAAATGGTAACGTATGTCGATGTGCTTACTTCTGGAATGATATTGGGTTCTCGGCCAATTTTATAGCACTCATATTGTCGCTATACAGGGTTACGTTAGCGAGTCTTTCGAACCCAAGTTCGGTCATGAACTTGCCCAAGTAGATTGCTTCCTTGGCAGCTTCGGTGGTACCCATATATTCCGCCTCGGTGGTAGACAATGCCACTGTGGCTTGCTTCTTCGATTCCACGATACGGGTCCGCCTGATAGGATGAATGAGAATCCGGTATACGAATGCCTATCGTCAGGGCAGTTTGCCCAATCAGCATCAACGAATCCTCTCAGATTCATGTCTTCTCGTTGGTATACTATCGAGTGATCGATGGTGCCCTTCAGGTACCTAAGTACTCGCTTTGCGGCTGTCCAGTGTTCCTTAGTGTAACAGTTGTTGAACTGTCCTAAGTAGCTTACGGCAAAGCTAATATCGGGTCTCGTTCCCAACGATAGATAGGTTAGCGCACCTATAAGCTCCCTATAAGGTAACTTCAGCTCTTCACTAGATGGGCTCTCCGTCGGTTTCCTTAACTTCGTTCCTGGATCAAGTGGAGTGCTTACAGTGTTCGCATCCGCCATGTTGAATCGATCTAGTATTTCCAAGATATATGCTCTCTGGCTTAGACTTATCTTGTTTTTCTTAGTGAAAATTCCATCCCTAGGCAATGATTAACTGATCCCAGATCTTTCATTTCAAATCTTTCAGATAATTTGGCTTTTAGGGACGATATTGCCTTTTTGTCACGTGATGCGATAATCAGATCGTCTACATAAGTGACAATTATCATAATGTCTTTCCCTGTTTTACTAGTGAATACACATGGGTCGGACTTAGTTGGATTTGCACCACATTCACTAAGTGTCTGGCTTAGTTTCTGATACCAGCTCCGACCGGCTTGCTTCAGGCCGTATAGTGACTTCCTAAGTAGACATACTTTATCACCTTTTCCCAGTGTGTTCAAGGTATCTCGAGCCTTCTTTCTGGTAGCCTCGTTGTATTTGGAGTTATCACAAATAATCTTCAATGATTCATCCAAATATTCGGGGGTTTCCATGTAAATCGTCTCATCTAGACTTCCATTTAAGTATGCGCAGGTAACATCCAGTTGCTGCATGTCCATATTTAAATGTGCTGCTAGGGCAGATACAAGTCTTATGGAGCTAAGCCTTGCTACAGGGGCAAAAGTCTCGTTGAAATGTGTTCCGGGCTTTTGGCTAAATCCCCGAGCGACTAGTCTTGCCTTCCTCCTTTCGATAGTTCCATCAGGCTTGTACTTGTTTCTCAGGACAATACGGCTTCCAACGATGTGCTGGTTACATGGTCGGTCGATTAATTCCCAAGTACCATTCTTCAAGATAGATGCCACTTCGTCTGCCATCGCCTTGTGCCATTCGTCAGCGTCCTCGCCTCTGACTGCCTGATGCATCGGGACCTCGGACAGTAATACCTCTTCAGAAGAGAGTGCTGAACCTCTCGGGGGTGTCCTGTACCTGTATATCTTTCTAGGTCTTCCCCTCGAACCAGTTCGCCGAATTCTGGGTCTCCCGCGGGCACGCCTGGGTGGCTCAGAATCGTGATCAACCTCGGGCTCTTCTTGTTCCGTTGTAGGAGATTCATGTTCTGGATTTTCGTTCTCGACAACTGGGGATAGCTGTACCTCGATAGTATGCATCTCAGATTCATTCTCCTTGGATGATCCTTCCAGAATAAAATCTGTCCATTCTTGGCTTATGACTTCTGCGTTTTCCAAGAACTTAACATCCCTCGTGACTACGAATTTATTCTCCTTCGGCAACCAGACCTTGTATCCTTTCGTTTGTTCCGAATACCCTATGAAAATTCCTTCCTTACATCTTGCGTCTAGCTTCCCCTTGGCCTGATCTTGGTTTAGACAGAAGACCTTGCAACCAAAATCTCTGAGATGCGAAACGTCGGGAGTCTTTCCAGTCCACTTTTCGTATGGTGTTAACCCGTTCAGACTTTTGGATGGACATCTGTTCCGCAAATAGTTGGCCGTGTTGATGGCTTCAGCCCAAAAGATCGGAGGTAAGCCGGACTGCATGATTAGACAACGTGCTGTATCCAAGAGAGTGCGGTTCTTCCTCTCCGCTATACCGTTCTGTTCCGGAGTGTATGGGCAAGTCAAGCGACGTGAAATTCCGTGCTTTTTCAGGAGATCCTCCATTTCCTTACATGTGTACTCCGTCCCGTTGTCAGATTGGATGCACTTTATCTTTTTGTTCTTTTGGTTTTCGACCAGTGTAATATATTCCTGAGTCTTTCGCACAACTTCATTTTTATGTTTCATGAAGAATACCGTGCAATACCTAGAATAATCATCTATGAATTCGACAAAATATTTGTACTTCGAGTGAGATTCTACTCGCATGGGACCGCAAACATCAGTATGTACGATTTCTAGCATTTCCGATTCCCTGTCGGACTTCTTCGGGAATGGTGAACGCGTCATTTTTCCGCGTATGCAAATTTCGCAATTAAGTTCCCCATTATTAGGCATTTTTCAATATTTATTCCACCTAATCTTCCTTTCTTCAATGAAGAATTCAAATCCTGAAAGTTCAAATGTCCTAATCTACGATGCCATAGTTTGACATTTTTAGAATTCATGGTCGAAATGAAAGCTGATTTATTCTGCGCTTCGCCTTCTCTCGCGTAGTATAAATCGCCACTACGATCGGCTACAACTTTTATATCACCATTACTATCATAGATCAAAGCATTTTCTTTCTTGAATAAAACTTCAAATCCTTTATCGGTAATCTTTGCAACAGAAAGTAAGTTTACTCTTAGGTCGGGAACATGAAAAGCTTTGTGGAGTGAGATGTTTTTCGTGTCGCCAAAAACGTCAGCAACAAACGTGGCTGTTCCGGAACCTGTAATGTCCGTAAATTCACTATTTGCTAAATTCAAATGATCATGTCTACGTTCAAGGTCAGAAAAACAACTAATGTCTTTACATAAGTGAGACGTTGCGCCACTGTCTAGACACCATTTCAGTCTTTTGTGATTCTGTTCAACATGATAACATTCCGCGGTAACGAGTCCCACGTGTTCGGAACAGTTCGCTTCACTTTTGTAAGAATTGGCAACAGTCTTACCTTTGTCTGGACATTCAGCGGCCTTGTGGCCTACTTTTCGGCATCTGTGACACTTATACCTGAACGTTCTTCTGCCTTCCGAGACGCCGCTGCCTCGTGCACCTTCCGAGACGCCGCTGCCTCGTGTACCTTCCGAGACGCCACTGCCCCGTCCGCCATTTCCTGCGTGACCGTGATTTTTCCCATAATTCCGCTTCACGAACATGGCGCCTTCCGTTTCTCGAACGTCGCCTTTCCGCGCAGTATACTCTTCTATAATTTTTATTCGAAGAATTTCCGGGGATGGTAATTCGTCTCTAGACTCAATTGCACACCTGAAGTTTTCAAAACTGGCTGGCAGGCTATAATAGCATTATCGCTAATAGATCTGCATTGATTTCTACATCCATGTCATTTAACTTGTCAACTGCATCGAAAAATGAGTTTAAATGACATCGTATGTCCTGTCCCTCTTCCATACGTTGCAGTGTTCTGGTTGATTGGTAAATACCCTCCAACTTTTGCCACAGTTCCTTGGATGTATTACAGTTCTTTACCTGTTTGATTTCTGAGGGGCTTATTGACAAAATTATGTCCGACATCGCCTTGCTGTCACCTTTAGTCCAGGCTTCTACAGCTCTCGTGGATGCTTCGTCCCCATCATCTATCCGTGGCTGCTTTATCTCGCCAGATACATAACTCCAGTGATCGTTTCTTACCAGCAATGCCCTCATCTGTATTTTCCACGTGTCGTAGTTATCCCTGCTAAGCGAGTCTATACAGGATACTTTTGCCACACTCATGTTTGATAACACTAGTCACACACTTCCTATATTATCTTCAGCACTTGCAATAATTGTTCAATGTCCGTAGCACTGTCTCTGGGCCCGTAACCTGTTGAGGATAGTAAGCAGAGCAATTCAACTCGCAGTGGTCTTCGGTTCAGAACAGTTTATTCAGTACTTGTACATGATGGGTAGATAAGCTACAGGTGTAGACCGGGCTTCCGCGTTCCGCGATCCGCGCGCGTGTGCTGGCTGCTGTTGTACTTCGACTGCTCCCACCACTGACTCTTCACGACTGACTGCATTCCGAGGTGCGGCGCGCGGGGACAGGACGGCGGTTACAAGCTTCTAGGTTAGGCAACCTGTCTGGTCGTCTCGCCAGTAGCGGCGCGGCGGGGTGACGCTAGTACGCGTTCCAACAATTATTGTTATTAAATTATTATTATTAATGATTAATTATAACTATAATATTGTTATTATGTTTTATTGTTATTATAATTGTAATTATTATTATTAAATGATTATTATTATTATAATTATTGTTATTGTAATTATTATTATTATTGTTATTATAATTATCATTATTATTAAAATTATTTAATTTACTTATTATTATGATTATTATTATTATTATTATTATTATTATTTTAGTGTTTTCCTCTTGTCCTATTGTGACAGTCTTAAGGGAATCCAGATCTCTACCCGAGATCAAAGCGATTCACCCTAATACCTTGCGGATAATGTGAGCAGTGCCCAGTAGTGCTATTTTCTGCACTTCAGCAACAGATGGTTTTCCTGGTAGTTGTGAGAGGTTGGTCTGTAACCCCTTTCTAAGGGTCCCTAGGGCTCCTACAATGACTGGAACTGTTCGGGTCTTAACGTTCCACATTCTGCTTACCTCTATTTCCAGGTCTTTATACTTGCTTAATTTTTCTGCTTCCTTCAGCATTACGTTCGAATCGTTAGGAACCGCTACATCTACTAGTAAGCAGGTTTTTGTTCTTTTATCAAGATACACTATGTCCGGGCGGTTCGCAGGTATGGTTCTATCAGTGATGATGGGAACATCCCACATGATTCGAACATCCTCATTGTTTACAACTTTATTATTTTCTGGAGTGTGCTCATAATATTTATCGCAGACCTCTATACCAGCCCCTTTGCTCATTAGCCAGTGTAGATACCTTGCTACGTTGTTGTGCCTTTTTGTGTATTCAGTAGGTGCGAGTGTGGTACATCCAGCCACGATGTGGCTTATGTGCTCCTCTGCTTGATTGCACATCCTGCACTTACTGTCCACTTCGCAACCAAGTATGCGCTTTTGGTGATAGCGTGTGTTGAGGGCTTGGTCCTGAGCAGCAATCAAGAGGCTTTCTGTTCCGCCCTTCAGACCAGAACTACGGAGCCATGCAACGCTAGCGTCTTTGTCTACGCCTGGTCTACTAAGGTTTCTGTAGAACTGGCCGTGTAATGGTTTATTTTTCAACATTTCCATTCTGCGCTTAGCAATGCTGACCTTGATTTGGACCTTTGTGTTCGACGTCCTAGAGTTGTCACTTTGGTAGTTTGATTTTATACTCGCTGCTTCTCTCTCAAGAGAGTATTTACGTTTCTGGGCATCGTGGATTTTTAACATTTTCGTATATTTGTCTTTCTCCGAGCTCAGGTATTCATGCAGGTCGAGAATGGCTAGATCATATGCATATTCTAACTCTATTAAACCTCGTCCGCCATCACGCCGTGCGATGTATAGACGCTGAACGTCGGCTTTGGGATGATGCATACCTTCACAAGTTAGTAGTTTTCTTGTTTTCCTATCTAGCTTGTGTATATCGGTTCTCAACCAATCCAAAATACCGAAACTATACGTCAGCACAGGGACAGCGATTGAATTAATAGCCATTATCTTGTTTTTTGAACTTAGCTCCGTTTTGAGGACAAGCCTTATACGCCGATAGTACTCTCTTGTCAGTCGATTCTTCATCTCTTGGTGCTCAATGCTCCCGCATTCCTCCACTCCCAAATACTTGTAGGTTTCACCGTTGTCTAGGTTTTTTATTTCCGTGGCGTCGTTCAATTGATGTTTTCACTTCTCTCAACTTTTCCTCTTCTCATAGTAATCTTGGCACACTTGTCAAGTCCAAATTCCATACCGATATCGTCACTAAATATTTTTACTATTGAGAGTTCTTTCTCCAGCTGTTTATCGTCTTTGGCAAAGAGCTTCAAGTCATCCATATAAAACAGATGACTTATTCTGTTAAGGCCAACACTGAAGCCTAGTCCTTCTTCGTTCAGCATATTACTCAGCGGTATTAAGGCAATACAAAAGAGTAAAGGAGAAAGCGAGTCTCCTTGGAAGATTCCACGCTTGATATCATACCTTGTTTTTATACACCCTTTGGAATGGAACAGAAGCAGCATGTCGGTCTTCCAGTTTTCCAGTGATGTCCGGATGAAAGTGGAGGACGGGGGGGCAATGCTTATTATGAGGAGATTATTAGGAGGATTATGATTTAATCTAAGTATTATTACTATAATGATTATGATTATGATTAGGAGGATATAATTATTGTAAGATATTATTATAATTATTATTATTCTTATTATTATTATTATTATTGTTATTATTATTATTTAATTATTATTGTTTATTATTATTATATTATATTATTATATTACAATTATTATTATTATATTATTATTATTGTTATTAATTATTATTATATTATTCATTCAAGCATCTCCTCTGAGAGGGTTTGATATGCTCATCCAGGTTTGCACAGAGGATGTAAGCATTTTGAAGGCAACTACCAATTTTGCAGGTTACAATGTCGAGTTTTCGCCTGCCAGGACCCTACGGACTGTTCTGCATGTCCCCAGTAAAGCGGCTTTCTGATTTTTTTGTAAACATGTTGGTCAAGGTCTAAACTTTTCAAGACTTGTGTGTAACTTCTTAAGGACCTCACCTGTTCGCGCCAATAACTATCCGTACAATATCGAACTGTATCATTCCCCACATCCGCTTATTTCTTCTGACAGTGGTAGATACTTGTTGATTTTTTCTGAGTAGGTACTTTGAAGGTTGACAGGGAGCGGAACCGCGATATCTATAATGTATGTTATCTTTTGCTCTTTTAACGTTAGCACTATGTCAGGGATGTTGTTTGGTATTGTGCGGTCTTTGTGATTATTTCCTGTCCAATACATTTGTGTGACCCAGTTTCTTTAACTGGGAGGGGCGTGTGTAGCGATGTATGGCTCAGTAGGTCCTTCATTGAGATAGCGCTTGACCAGTCCAAGTAGATTATTTTGCCCGTCGTTATGTCTTTCTAGATACTGTTTTGGGCGAGTGTGGAACAGTTGCGATAATGTGGTTCTAGGTTCTCGTCTTTACCTCCACAGATTCTACATTTGATATTGTCCATATTTTCTCCCATTATTCGCTTTCTGTAGACTTTCGTAGGCAGCACTTGGTCTTGAATAGCCATCACAAACCCCTCTGTCTCCACGAACAGATACTGGAACGCACCCACTCTTGGGATGCTTTGGTGTCTACTGCCTGGTCTTCAATTCGCGTTCTATGGCGTCCATGTAGTGGCTTTGATTTCCACTTCTCGATCAGTTCGGGGGGGTGATGACACCATCGCGGATGGATTGAGAGCTAGGTTGGCTAGGTTCAGTGGGGTAATGCCCTTATCTCTGTTGGCTAGTGCCTGATGCATTCTGCTACTACTCGCCTTTTCCAAGAAGTATGTCCTTAGATTATCAATTTGCTGGTAATGTCTGGACACCATACTGGGGATTCCTCTTCCTCCTTCGCGCCGTGCTAAGTGGAAGCGCTCTATTGCACTTTTAGGATGATGCGCCCTATACCGACGGAATTCTTTCCTGGTACTTATATCTAGGGCTTTCAGCTCAGTATCAGTCCATTTGAGTATACCGAAGGTGAAGGTAAGCGTTGACGCTGCGTAGGCGTTCACTGCAACAGACGTATTTATAGCAGACAATTCTGATTTAAGAATGATCCTTAATCTTCTCAAGTATTCGTCGGTAGATCTTTGCTTCGACATTTTTTGGTCTATGTCTGGTGCCTGGAGGTAGCCTAAGTATTTGTAGCGTTCATCCCTTTGCATATTGATGATCTCCCCTTGCGACCCTCTTACTTTATACCCTTCATGCTCTGTCCACTTACCTTTAGTCATGCAACTTATGCGGCATTTATCTAAACCAAACGTCATTTGCACATCTTTGCTAAATCTGCTCACACAATCCAACAGCGCATGTAGGTGATCCTTCTTCTCTGCAAATAATTTCAGATCATCCATATACCAAAGATGAGATAGTTGTGTACCATCCTCGGCAATCTTTACGCCTTTTTCTTGACTGTTTAACAGCGATGTTAGTGGGCGTAAAGCTAGGCAAAACCATAGCGGGCTTAGAGAGTCGCCCTGAAAGATCCCTCGTTTTATACTGACTTCTCCAGCATCTATCTGCGAGTTTGGGGTGTTAAGACAGAGACGTGTTTTCCATTTGGACATTGCATAGGTCAATAGTTTCACGATATGGTTTTCTATGCCATAAAGGTGTAGCACTTCCGTTAACCATGAATGTGGAATACTATCAAATGCTTTCTGATAATCGATGTATGCAGTGAACAAGGGCGACTTCTTTTTTTCTGGCACTACCCGTTATTATTTCATCGATTATCAGTTGTTCTTTACATCCTCTTGAGCCCTTCCGACACCCCTTCTGTTCCTCATCCAATAAGTTGTTACGTTCCAAATGATTATGTACTTTGTCAGCCAATATAGCAGTAAGGAGTTTATACGCTGTAGAAAGGCAAGTAATTGGCCTGTATTTTGCGGGATCAGCAGTATATTGTTCAGTTTTTGGGATCAGGTATGTAACTCCTGTTGTTAGAAATTCTGGGATAGTTTCCGGCCTCTCGAGGAATGTTGAGTAGCATTTCGCAAGTTGTTGGTGGGTGGAAGTAAATGCCTTTATCCAGTAATTGTGAACACCATCTGGCCCTGGAGCTCTCCAATTGGAAGTCCTACCTATTGCTTTCACTACATCATCCTTAGTTATGGTCCAAGACAGCATTGCTTGTATGGAAGTTCTAGCCTTCTCTTGCTGATACCAATGCGCTGTTCTGTGTTCTCTGGGGTTGCTCCATATACCGCTCCAGAAGTGTCTTATGTCTTCTGTGTTAGGAAATGATGTTTTTCCTTGTAGTGTACGATCTGATTCTTTGCCCACAGATTTATAAAATGCTCTCTGATTTCTATGAAATAGGATGTTTTGTTTACGACGTTGGCTGCTCTTCATATATCTCTTCACTCTTTGAGATAAGGCTAATAGTCTCTGCTTTAGAAGGTCCAAAACTTCGACTATGGTTGGGTTTTCTTCCGATGTATATCGTCGCATTATTGTGTCCCCTTTCTTTTTCACTCTTTGGCTGTATGTCGGTTTTTGGTACTGCGTTAGGATAGCTATATCGCTCCTGATATTATCTATGTTCTTGCTTAGCCTCCTCTCCCAAGCTGGCTGCCTTTTAGTTCCGTTCCGACTTGTAACATCTGTAGGTCTCTGACCGTTTAGCTTTAGAACCGCGAACGCCCCAGCATAGATCATGGCGTGTAGGTCCTTAAAATCTGTTTGGTCGCTAATATCTGCAGCGATAATTCTGTTCATTTCACGTAGGTTTTTAGCTGCCGTTGGGTTGCAAAATAGTTTGGGTAGCCGAGGCTTTTTTGTCGGATCTATACCGTCATAGCTCATTATGATGGCTCTAAATTCCTCCTCCAGCACTGATGGCGAATAGCTTGGCGTTTCAGTCGGAGCGTCATTTGCTTGCTCTTGACTCTGCTGTGCATCATTTACCATGCCCAATTCGGTTGCTACTTCATGCCTAATTGTATCTATTCTCTCCGCTGGCAATCTGCTGTTCACAAATATAGATCTGCGCTGGTCTAGGATGTTCTGCAGTGTCTTTTGTCTTAACTGGGGAAATTTTTCTGTCACTAATTTATGCAATTCAGCACCATAAGGTTCCTGTGAAGTTTGCAATTTGGTAATTGTATAGTAGCAGCGAACCACGTACTCATTCATTTCTGTCGTCCAAGTGGTTCTCTGCCGTCTACTATGGGCTGGTAACATGGGCTGGGGCGATGCGTCCACAGCAACATTATTACCAGCATTGACCGCTTGGTGGTGTTGCGTTAGGTCATTCATATGTGGTGATGTTGGGGGGATTTCGCTGGATGACGACCGGGTGCGACCTTCCCCTACGTTCCCTGCCGGACGCGGACCTCGTCGCATAGCGACGAGTCCCGATTACGTCGTTACATTCCGAGGCTTCATTTTGTTCCTTCTCCATTTCTGGGTGATTTTGTTCTCTTTTTATAAGTAGGTGTAATTGTTTACCTAAAAATGTTGAAACTCAGGCGCGGAAGAGAGACAAAAACCACGCCTGGATAAATGGAAGGCGTGCTGGCCGTACTGACTATCCTTCGGTGTTAATATCAGTAGCTTAACTGTTGGGTTAAGGCCAGACGTTGCGCTGCTGGCTGTACCGTCTACGTCGTTACGGTAGCGGGTTTGAAACTGCTGGCGGCAGTCCCCTTACCGGCCAGACCCATTTAATTATTAAATTAATAATTATTATAAAGACTATTATAATTATTATAATTATTTATTATTATTAGAATTACTATTATTATTATAATTATAGTATAATATTATTATTAACATTATTATGATAATATTATTAATTATTTATTATATTATTCTTATTATTATTATATTATTATTATTTTATTATATATATTATTATATTATTATTATTATATTATTACAGTATATTTATTATTATAATTACATTATTATTATTATTGTTATAATTAGTATTATTATTATTATTATTATTATTATTATTATTATTATAATTATTATTATTATTATTATTATTATTATTATTATTATTATTATTATTATTATTATAATTACCATTATTATTATTATTATTATAATTATTACAGGTATTATTATTATTATAATTACTATTATTATTATAATTACAATTATTATTATTATTATAATTAGTATTATTATTATAACTATTATTATTATTATTATTTTATACTATTTTACTCATCTGTCGAAGGTATTAATATTTACCTCAGGCGGTTAGCCAAAGTAAGGAAATAGATCTGCAGCGGTCTTTTCACCGTATCCGGTTCTCATCTCCTAAAACCCTACGTACTGTCCTACATGTTCCCAGCAGTGCAGCTTTTTGCAGTTGCAAGTATATTTTGGATGGAGCTGTAGCTTTTCCAGACTCTTGTGTAGTTTCCTTGGTATCTCTCCAGTAGCTCCTAGACGTGGTCATTGTCGTCTAGACCAGTTAGGTGAAAAATTAAAGCTTCCGCCTTTTGTTGGGTACTTCGACAAAATTTAAGCAAAGAGGACTCTTTATACTTTTTTTAATTCTCTCTAGCTTTCAATGGACTTTGCCATCATCATCAGGAGCTGCAATTACAATGATAACAGTAGCAACAAAAGTGTAAAATGAATTTAAATTGACTCAACTTACAGTAGTATGTGACGATGTTGCTAATTGTTGTCTTTCAGGTTTCCTTTCGACTGGAGATGATTTGGTACCTGGAAACGCTGGATTGAAAGATCAGAATTTGGCCTTAAAGTGGGCCAATCCATCATTTTGGTGGTGATCCAACCAAAATTACAATTTTTGGTCAGAGTGCTGGCTCTGCTTCTTGTGCTTATCAGATTATGAGTCCGTTATCTAAAGGTACAACGATATGGGATAAGTTAAGTTTTGTACCAGTGAAGTTATAGGGCATATTGAGAAAACGACCGGGTTGTGAAACCGACCATTCTACATAGATAGTACTGACATAAAGAAGAAAAAACAATATTCTTGAAATTTCTGTTATTTGTTGTCTCATAACATACGAGGGTGGTCCCAGAAGTACCCGGCCTGACCTAGAGATGGCGATAGTTGTTTGAAAAATATCATTGTATTAGAAAGTATGCAACCTATAAAGCATATGTGTCAAGTTTGAAGACGCCACGTTGTTTAGTATTTATTTGGCAGCCATTAATACTGAACGTTTTCAGTGAATTTGTAAAAATGGAGAAAATTGGTAATCGTTATGTGGTACAATACTTTTATTTCAAAGGCCTCAGCCCAACCAATATAAAAGCTGAACTGGATTTTACTCTGGGCGAGTCTGCTCCTTCGTTTACAACAGTAAAATATTGGGTAGCAGAGTTCAAACGAGGCCGTATGAGCTGCCAAGACGAGCATCGCAGTGGGTCCACCAAATGAGGTGACGACTCCAGAAATGGTGAAGAAAATTCACAAAGCGGTACTGGATGATCGTCGACTGAAAGTGCGCGAGCTAGCAGACATAGTAGGCATTTCAAAAAGTGCGGTTCATTGCATATTATCTGAAAAATTGGACATGAGAAAGCTGTGTGCAAGATGGGTGCCGCGATTGCTCACAATCCGTGAAGATGTGTCAATTGAGTGTTTAGCGAAGTTTCACAGCAACAAAGAGGAATTTTTGCGTCGTTTCATAACCATGGATGAAACATGGGTCCATCACTTCACACCCGAGACAAAAGAACAATCAAAACAATGGACTCAAAAGGGACAACCGGCTCCAAAGAAGGCGAAGACCGTTTCATCTGCAGGCAAGGTTATGGCGTCGGTTTTTTGGGATGCGCGTGGGACAATTTTCATTGACTATTATTAACTTATTACAACGTTTGAGCGATAAAATCAAGCAAAAACGGCCGCATGTGGTTAAGAAGAAAGTGTTGTTTAATCAAGACAATGCACCAGCTCACAAATCCGTTATTGCAATGGCCAAAATTAACGAATTAAAGTTTGAATTGCTACCTCATGCACCCTATTCACCAGATTTAGCCCCCTCGGATTATTTTCTGTTTCCAAACTTGAAAAAATGGCTCAGTGGTCAAAGATTTTCTGACGATGAAGAAGTGATGTCGGCAGTTAATGGCTATTTTGAGGAGCCTGATATCTTATTATAAAAAGGGTATCGAACTTATTGAACATCGCTGGGAAAAGTGTATAGAGCTCAAAGGAGATTATGTTGAAAAATAAATACATTTTTTTATAAAAATTTTGTGTTTTCTTCGTTGAGACGGATACTTCTGGGACCACCCTGATTGCTGAAACATTCCTCTATTATCGCTTTTTTATTAACATTTTAGGTTTGTTCAGAAGCGCAATCTTGCTCAGTGGGACATCGCTAAGTCCATGGGCGTACCAAAGGAACTACCAGTTATATTCGAGGGAATTGATCAGAAATATAGATCCTGCAAACTACCATAAATATAATACTTCTCAAACTATTTACGAGTTTCTCAAAAACATACCAACAGAGATAAGTAATGATGCTTGCTTGGCGATAGTAACAACGGTAGGCTAAAGAGACTTACAAATAAGATTAGAAAAAGATAGTATAATCCAACGAAATTTTAACATCATAATAACTAATTGAGGCCTCACACGGTAGAGCCCATAGAGAGCAATTTACGCATTTATGTAATCATTATTGAATTTATCCAATTATGAAGCTTGGAAATATTCATCAATTTTTGTTTTGTTTAAGGTTGTTATAACGTGAGATCAGAGCTTTGTCCCTCAGTCTTCTCAAAAGTAAAAGTTTGTTGTAGGATGTACCATTCTCTTCAGCCCATTGTAAACCTAGCTCAAAAGCGTTAATTGCGTCTTGTGCTGTGACTTGTGGAGCAGTTGCAATCACGTCGTCGTTACTTTCCTGATTGTTTGTTGTATAATTAGAAACCTCTTTTATAATTTCTTCGTCAGACATTTCATGAAAAACATTTTCCTCTTTATCCATTCCACGGCACCAGATTTCCAAATCTTCCGGACTTATCTGTGTTTCAGTAGCGACTTGTTCTATAACTTCCGAAGTTACACTGATTTGTGGAACGTTGCTAGGAGTGGTGACTATATCTGGCCAACACTTTTTCCAAGACGATTTAATAGTTGATGACGGTAACGCATTCCACGACTGACAAAGAGCAAAAACCAAGTCTTAATATTAGATTCTTTTAATGTTTTTTCTATTGGTTGGTCTTTTGATACGGCTCTCAGAAGTAGGTTTTTCTTATAGTCTTGCTTGACAAACTGAGTGATATTCTGGTCCATTGGTTGAATCAGTGCAGTGCAATTTGGCGGAAGAAACATCGCAGTGATGCATTTATCCTCAGATGTTAGTTCTTCTTCAGACGGATGACCGGGAGCGTTATTAAGAAGCAACAATGCTTTTTGAGGAAAATTATGATATCTTAACCATTTTCTAACTTCAGGTACGAAGCATTCATCAAACCACTTTTTGGAAAGGTCTTTTGTCGTCCATACACTTTTTTGTCCGTAATAGTGTACAGGTAAATCAATGTTTTTGAATGCCCGTGGTTTATTAGATTTCCCAATGACCATCATCTTAAGCGCGTGTGTGCCCGCAGCTTTAGCACATGGTAGTATGGTTACACGCTCTTTACGTACTTTTCGTCCAGGTACGGATTTTTTGTTACAAAAAACGAAAGTTTTGTTATGCATCACACGCCAAAAAAGCTCTGATTCGTCTGCATTGTACACCTGTGACGGGTCAAGACTTAAATCGTTCACCTTTTGCAAAAATCTTAATTTAAAGGGCTCTATGCAGGTGGCATCGTTTGAAAGTTTCTCTTCTGTAATAGCCATTAAACGTATGCCATGACGACTTTTAAAACGTTCTAGCCATCATTTGCTGGCCATAAAATCATCTTTTTTTGTTATTTTCTTATAAAAAAACTTAGCTTTCATGGCCAACATGGGTCCTGAAATTGGTGCATGCCTATTTCTTTCCTGGAGAAACCACATGTACAAAACTTCTTCCACTTCTGGATGTTCAGCTGTCTCTTGCCTGGCCCACAGTCAGTAGTTGACACGAATTTCTTGATCTTCCCGTGGTTTCTTTTAATGTCATAAATTGTAGATCGGCCTACTCCGTATTCACTTGCTAAACTACTGAAAGTTTCATTGCGATTTAAGCGGTCTAAAATATCACATTTTTCTTTAATTGTCAATGTTTTGTACTTTCGCTTCTGAGTTTGTGATGACATTACTAGGTACACTATACTTAATACACAATGAATAAATAGTAAACAATGAACGCACGCTAGGCCGTACCGCTATCACATGTAGTCAAATTCAAACTAAGTAAAACAATGCTTACGCGTCGAGCACGATAGCGGTGGCGCGTACAAGTTGTAACCTGTTCAAACCTGCGCGATCCTCATTAGCGAAGATTGTCAAATATGTATGTATGTAACATTCAAAGACATGTCGGATGACAAGGGGCGCCGGATTAGACAGGGGCCGGATTATCGGGGGTCCACTGTAATGAAAAGGTAGAGATTATGTTTCTTGGAACTGTTCAGGTGGAGGGTTCAGTCCAATCTCACTCAATCTTCTTAGGAGAAATGAGAGGCTTCTTGGTAAATATCAGGCGATTTTTAGATCACTTCGTTGAGTTTTACTTTTTTGTCATTGAAACAACGCTCATTTTATCGAAATCAAGCAAGGATAATTTATTCAGAATGGATATATTATCTTTCAGCCGTTATTATACAGGGTGCTATAAATTAGCAATATTGCGCTGTAGCTAGGACGTCCCTGTCGAACTGAATGTGATAATTGCTTTATATTTTTTATTTATCATATGGTACGTTATCCGCCTACTATGATGTAAAAATTTTGTTAGTAGAGTATACGATGTGGTTTAAAATTTGGGGGTGGTGTGAAACGAAGCGCCAGATAATATCGTCTTAGAATAACTGCAAGAATTGCAACATGACCTGACCCGGTTCAGGTGTATAAAGTACAACTTAGTCACCATACGCATATGCTTATTATCTTCCAGAATCCTAAAAGCTATCTACAGTTGTACCAAGGATTTTTCTTTGCGCCGGTATACGAGCACGAGCACGATGGTGCTTTTTTGACCAAACAGGCATACGAAGCTATGGAAGAGGGAGATTTCAATAAAGTACCAGTATTACTCGGTGCTACTAGCGAGGAAGACTATTTCCTCATGGAAGGTAAGTCAGGTAGTATACAGGAAACCAAACAAGCTACTTTGTCCCACCGACCCAAGAGATCCAACCATTGATAGTTGTTTCGTGCTGTTTGGCAACTCATCAGCATGGTATAGGCTTTGTCTCTGCGACAGCGAGAAAAATGATAGCCACTATTCTCTATCGAAGACAGTATCTTTGGTCGGTAGCATGATGCTTAATATTGTTCAATAGTTATTAGATCACATGTATTATGCCGCCAGAATCGTCAGCCTCTAGCGGTTATAATGGTGACTGTGCCATCAAACAATATATATATATATATATACTCTCGCAGTGGTCGATTCTGGTAACAGATGGCGCTCTGCGCTGAATTATTTCGATAGTATACAGGGTTCTCCAACGATCTCCAAAAAAACTATAAATTTCGAAAACAAGTTGTTTCTATGGATGTTATATGACATGTACAGCTGTGTATGATCAAGGAAATCCCATAGATATAATATATCTTGTTTACGAAAGAGCTTTTGATAAAGTTCCGCATAAACATTTGATGTACAAAAATTGAGCATTTTGATGCACGAGGTAAGCTTTAAGATTGGATAGAGGCATTTCTTACTGACAAGTAAGTCAAATTATTCCAAGAAAAAACAAACGAACTGTCAACTAAAATTCAGATAAATAAGATGTATTGTCATTGTACTAAATAAGATCACCTTTGTGATTGAAACGTTTACAGCGAAGAAGATTCTGTCAATACATGTTGTTTTGTTGGAAAGGCAACTATACACATAAACCACAGGATAAGTGTTACACTAATAGATATATGTTACATTAATGCATGACACAGAGTGCTACAAAATTCAGTAAGGGTAGTACCGTCAGTCAGTCCCACATTTGTAGGACAGCTTTATGGCCTCCTCAATTTTCATAGCTTTCTACTGTTCCGTGTCAGCACTCTATTTTGAGGTTATGTCACAAATATCTACTTGCAGCAAATTGTTCATGTTTTTGATTTGTTATATCAGCCTCAAATTTCCTACAGTTCAAAAAGAGAACAATAGTCTCACAATAGGAGAGCACTGACGCTGACACGGACAGTAGAAACCTAGAAATGCCCCAGCCTTTCTGAAGGAGAGAAGAGACTATGGAAATCAAGGAGACCATAAAGGCGTCCTACAATTGTAGGAACGACTGACGATACGGCCTTCAATAACTGCTTCTAACGTTTGTAGGTTTTCAATTATATATGACAGAAAGGATGAACCAACCATTATCCAGTTCTTCGACTTTCCACAATAAACAGCACTGCATTAGCCTGCTAAGATTACGGTAGTTATTTATGGACAGGTGGCAGCGTTGCGTGTGAAGTGCAGAGTTAACCTACTTTGCCATTTTTCTATTAGCAAACTTCGCATATGCAGCTTTGTACTGCACTCTTATGATTTTGGCGACAAATACCATTATTTTAGAAACAACATTCTCGTTACAGATAAAGAAGGTCTCGGTTACATATCTGAAATATTCACACAAAGTCGTGATTCAATACCAGATGATATGCATGTCACTGAGGAGAATAAGGATACCATCAAAGCTGAATTGATGAACTTTTATACTTCCGGAGGAAACTATGTGGACAACCCTAGGAAACTTGTCACGGTACGTATAATCAGATGTGACTCAATATTTAATCCACTCTGAGCACAATGCAAAATTGACCAAAAAGTGCTGCAAACTGTTAAGCGTTGTTCTCACGGCAACCCGACTTCAACACAATTACGCATCTGCCACACAACCAGCAGTCTGGCCGAAAATAATTGCATAACGTACTTAACAAATATTTGTAAAATCTAGCCAGTTGAAACTTTTGAACAATGAAAAGGAAAAGTGTAATACGAAGAATAGTCGGATATATTCTAGAGGATGATTCATTGTTAAAACATATGAAAAAACTTCCTATAAACATGTTTTCAAGATACGGGAAAAATATTTGCTCCATTCTGTCAAAATTTGCCAATATTATTTGTTGTAATACAAGACACATTTTTCAATATTGGTTTTCCGAGGCAGTTGTGATTTTTTTAGCAAAAATTAATAAACCAATTTTGTCCAGTAACATGCAATAAACCGGTTTTTATTTTTTTCTCGGAAAATGCTTAATCAAACAACCAATATTAAAATTACAAAAAAGGCAGTGGCGTACATTTTTTTGCCAATAATATTCGCCAAGTGCCACGCCTTCTTTTGGTTAATTAATAAAACACAATGACGGTTGGTCCAAGCAAAACAGTTGTCTGGTGGCGTGCAAATTCAGGCCCTAGCTCAATAAAGCGGAGAGTAGGGGAGTTAAGAGCGCCAGTGACTTAGGACGGATTAAGCCACAACTCCCCTAGATGTTAGTTGGAACACACAAAAGGAGAGTCTAACAGAGATGACGAAATAAATCAAGATATCAAATGAATCACAATATATTGATTAATAAAAAAAAGCACATGTGCACCACTACTGAAGTGCGAGTAATAAAAAAAATAAAGGATGTTATAAATCTTAAATACAACCTGACAAAATTATTTTTCGAGATAACCCCGCAAAACGTCTACCGTAGTATACGCCCGAAGTATTTACAGATATTTTGCGCCTAAATATTCAACTTATCTGTAGGTCTTCTTTGTCAGGCGCGGCCGAGACGTCCTCAACTCTGGTCAAAATGTGGCCAGTAGTGGGCACGTCACTGGGCAGGGGCTGCTTGCCTCGTTGCCAAACATTATGGTAGTAAAAAAAACCCTAGAGAGAGGAAGACTGCTTAAAAATATACTCTACTCTCTGTCTGAGATAAAACTACTCATTGAAAACAATCGCACTTGAAGTAAAACTATGTACATTTTTTTTGGACAAGAAAAGTAAAGTAAAGGCAAAAAAGATAAAAATGTACTGAACTAATATACCCTTGTTCTATGGTTATGGCAGCTCAAAAATCAAAATCATGATCAATGCAATAGCAGGTGCTACGTAGGCACTGCCCCCATATTTGAATACGTAGAATGTCCAATAAAATCAAGAAGTCTCTAAGAATTTCAATAAGCAATAATAAATGTATAAAGATCTATGAAATTATAAATTAGAATGACATTTTATCTGTTCACATCAGGTTTTTTTCCAAGGGGATGGCTTCCACCAATTGGCAAAACTGCAACAAGATGCAACCAACTGGAGGAGAAAGGATGATGATTATCTTCTGTTTCTATTGACTAAAAGAAAGCAGATATTGAATGAACGTCATCAGGACACGCACTTAGGCACGTGGTCCGAAGGTATATAAAAAGAACTTACCACTGAGGGTCAAAATCCCATAAAAGAATGGAAGACGTAGCACCCAAACCAAAATGACTAAACTTAAGTTACACAAAAAAAGGGTCCTAGTCCATGAATTGGCGCTTGGGGCCTAATATCCCAGAGTCTGGAAAATGACTAAACGACCCCTGCACCACGACCTCAACGGAAACAGCACATGTAACGTCCTAGAAAAAGGTATCTTGAGTGGCCTTGAAGAAGATCTTGTATGTTTTATAGGAAACCAACTAACGGAGAAAAACTACAGTTTTTTGCTGATCGTCAACACCATACTGAATCGCTGAGAAAGAAAGATATAATAGTGAAATATACAATCAATAAACTATTAAATTTGTCAAAAGAAAATCAGTGAAGAGGGTTTGGCCTAGGAATGGGCACTCTATTATCAATGAAGAGAAATTCAAACTACGGATAAGTGATAAATAGTAAAAAAGGTTACCTGATTTTGGCCCGTGACACAAGATGCCCTCGGGACGTCACTGGTTCTAATAATTTTATCTACTTAGGACTAAATCAGCCTCTTCATACAATAAATACTATCGCCAAATTTCAACAGAATCGAATTAATATTTTTTACGATATCAATTAAAAAAAAATAACAAGGAATCACACTCTCCGTCTATTTTTCGAATACCCTGCATAGTATTTAGTGTAACTAAATTACATCTTCACGAAACTATTTCAACTCTGCCAGATGTTACTAAAATTCATACAATTCGAAGATGGAATGGAAAGTCCTTGGCCTGACATGACATAGAAATTCCAATGAGTTCAAGACATCTTGTTCAAGGAACCGGGGACGAGAAGGGTCTACAGGGTGGATACCGCATTTGTTGAATGCTGATCAAAACCGGATGTGCAAGCGCCTTTCCCAGCAATGTTTGGACCAGTTCAATATGAATCTGACCGATTTTATATGGCGATTAGTTACCACTAAACGGCAGAAACAACAATTATGGGGAACTGCTATTCCAACACTCTTGATCAACTGTCAACCAGTCTTCCACTTCGGAGAAGGAATCCTTATGTCGGAAACGTTGGATCAAGTGTGTTCGAGTCGAAGGGAATTCTGTAAAAAAATCTAATCATTTTTCAACTGAAAATCATCGCAGTCTGTCATTGTCAGGCCGAGAAATGTTCAACCTACTTTTGTGATGCAACTGCAATATTATCTTTGATACAACTACAAGAAGTTTTGTATTTCCAAGAAACGAATAAATGTACGTAATTCACCATCGAATAGACATTTATTAAGTTTTTCTTGTTGGCTTCTGAATCTTAATCCGTCAAGTTATCTAATTTCCTGTGATTCAATGAAATCTGTGATCAGTGATACGTATGACTGTATTATTACTTTTCATGTGAAAGCTCACTTAATTCGGTGATTATTTTCAGCTTATGAGTGATCATGATTTTGTAAAATCTGTGCTAAAGTTCGCTGAGCAGTTGGTGAAACACTCGCAAAACCCATACCTCTACCAGTTCTCTTACAAAGGTGTCTTGGTTTTCACAGAAATCAGTCAGGTAATCTTATCAAAGCCAAGTATATAAACTATAGCTAAGTTTACAATTTCACTATGTGCTGGTACTCCATAGATCATAGGAAAATAAAATTCAACAACTCAAAACTAGGATGCAAAGCATCAAAACAAAGTATGCCTCAAATCTTATTTTGTTTAATAGTGAATTGAGTTTTTTCTCAGATAATGAGCCGTATTCATAAAAGAGAAGCATATCCTCGGAAGCATAAGGTATAAGCATATCCTTGTTTTCATATTCATAATGATTACCTTATACTTGCGAGGTTATCCTCCAAGAAGAAGTAAAAGGTTGACTGGTATTTGTATCTTGAGCGATATGTCCTGACTTGTTTCAGCTTGTGGTTGGCGTGGGAGTTCGCTCATTCAGCATCACTGACAGTTGTACCCCAGAGCTTACACAGACCGTTCCGTATTTTCACTGGATACAGTTTTTTATCAAATTAATAAGCATGTCATCCTCAAGTTATGAGGCAACTATAGAAATAATGGCAACGACCTGCAGTTCATCGCAGATGAAATTGCCATTGCTCCCATTATTTTCCAAAAGTCACAAGTGCCAAAAATAAAAATGAGAAAGGACGATGCCTAGAAGAAGATGTTGAAAAAATAGGAATCAACATTCGGTAAACCATTAGATACTAAAGGCTTATTAAAAAAATCAACAACATGAAATCAAGATTGAAAAAATAACAGATCTAAAAAAAAAACTGGTAATAAAGCAATTAAATTGTTAGATTGGGAAAAAAGTTGCTGATAGCTATGGAAGGTGACTGTAATCCTACAATTGGGAAAATTAGAGGTGCCATTCAGGTTGGTAGTGTTCAAGAAGAAGGAAGTGAACTATATACCGAGCGCAGTGAGCAAACAGTTGGTATTACAGCGCAAGCAATGCAGAAGAGATTGCCACCAAAAAAAAAATTAGTACCAGAGAAATACGAAACTGAGGAAACCAAAGGTTAACTACAAAAGAACTGCAACGTCTAGTGCTGTTACAGCAATACCAAATAAGCATTTTACAACAAGAGTATTATAAAACGAAATAAGAAATGATGCAGCGATACAATTTATTTGTGAACTGTTACGCAGAACATGATGTGAAAAATATGAATGTCTACAAATTCAATAGACTATTGAAGAACTTTCTCATAGACAAGTGTTTTTACAGTGTCGATGATTATATTAATTATGTAACTATATTTAAAATACAAAAATCTGTGACTTCAAATGTACAATAATGTATGTAATGTAGTCAATAAACTAAAATAAACTAAACTAAACTAAACTAATTATTATGATTATTCTTATTATTATTATTATAATTATTGTTATTATCATTATAATTTTATTATAATTATTCTTATTATTATTATTAATATTATATTATTAAAGTAATTATAATAATAATAATAAGAATAATAATTATAATAATTATAATAATACTAATAATAATAATAATTATTATTATAATAATAATAATTAATATTATAATAATAATAATTATAATAGTAATTTTATAATAATAATAATAATAATAATAATTATAATTATAATATTAATAATAATAATAATAATAATAATAATAGTAATTATAATAATACTCATAATAATAATTATAATAATAATAAGAATAATTATAATGATAACAATAATAATAATACTAATAATAATAATAATAATAATAAGAGTTCGATCGAAAGATTCTACTTGCCAAGATCCAAAGGAGGACGAGGCGTGATTGACCTTAAAGCAGCTAACCTGCGGAATATAGAAAACCTCAGGAGATTCTTTTATAGAAAGGGCGAAACATCTGCATATCACAGAAATATAGCTTCAGCTGACTACAAGTTCACACCACTGAACCGTCGGATGACAGTATGAACCTCTAACCCATGTTGACCACCGACGAACAATGGTATCATCAATGGAAGTCCAAACAGCTTCATGGAAGACATCCAGCCATGCTCAGCTCAGATCACATTGATGCAGAAGCGTCACATGGATGGCTGAAGAGTGGGGAGCTATTTTCGGAAACTGAAGGTTTCATGATTGGCATTCACGATCAGGTGATACCAACCTTAAACTATAGAAAATACATCATGAAAGAAGAAGGCATTGAAGATAGATGTCGTATATGCCATAACATGTCGGAAACAATAGAGCATATCCTGACGAGCTGCACTCCCCTAGCTTCCACTGAGTATCTGAAGCGCCACGACAACGTGGCTAAAATAGTTCACCAAGAAATTTGTTATGCTGCGAACATACTAACTGACCGCACTCCATATTACAAGTACCAGCCGACTCCAGTTATAGAAACTAACAGCCATAAAATATTCTGGAATAGAACAATTCAACAGATCAACCATGAAATACAACAAACCAGATATCGTAGTTCAAGATAAATGAAGCAAGTTACCTGCATAATTGACATTAGTGTGCCTGCCCACATAACATAGCTGAGAAGCAGACAGAAAAGGTTCGCAAGTACTTACACTAGCTGCAGAAGTAAAAACACTGTGGAATCAAGAAAAAAGTTGAAGTCATCCCAATAGTGATCGGAGCCAAGGAGAAATACCTAAGAGTCTACATAAATATATGAGAAACTAAATCTGCCGCAAGGAAAACTATAACCTCTCATTTCAGAAAGCTGCTATCGTAGGTAGTTGTCCTATAGCACGCAAGGTCCTGAAGTAGCCACATAGACCAAAGAGAAACCAATAGTCACACTCAGACGCTTGCAGTATAATGCCGCGTTGAGGCTACACCTGCAGTAGCAGAGATAGCTAACAGAAACCGTTTATATAATTATAATAATAAGAATAATAATAAAAATAATAATAATCATTAATAATAAGGTAATGAGATAATGATGAGATTAAGGTAAGAATAATAATATAGTGAAGTATAAGAATAATAACAAAAATAATTATATGATATATAATAATAATTATAATAATACTAATAATATAATGATTATACTATAATAATAATAATAATAGTAATTTAATAATAATAATAATAATAAAATAATAATAATATTAATAATATAATATAATAGTTGTAGTTATAATAATAATAACAATCATTATAATAATAACAAGAAGAATAACTATAATAATTATAATAATAATAGTAATTAATAATAATAATAATGTAAATAATAATAATAATTATTAAAATTATAATAATAATAATAGTTTAGTTTAGTTCAGTTTATTGAATACATTACATACATTATTGTACATTTGAAGTCACAGATTTTTGTATTTTAAATATAGTTACATAATTAATATAATCATCGACACTGTAAAAACACTTGTCTATGAGAAAGTTCTTCAATAGTCTATTGAATTTGTAGACATTCAAATTTTTCACATCATGTTCTGCATAGCAGTTCACAAATAAATTGTATAATGTGACATCCAACTTGTTCAACTTGGATAAACGTAATCTAGAAAGGGAACTCTGAGGTTATTTGCTGACCTGGTATCATGATCATGAACATCGGAATGCGTTACATATTTAAGGAGGTTTTTATGAATATGTAAAAGCGTTTCATATATAAAAATGCTTGGTAGTGGTAAAATTCGATGTTTTCTAAAAAGTGGTTGGCATGGTGTGCCGTATTTCGAACCATCAATTATGCGAACAGCTGCCTTTTGGAGTGTGAACACTCTGAAAGATCCAGAAGTGTTCCCCCAAAGGAGGGCACCGTACGACAACTGACTGTGGATTAGGCTGAAGTAAACTGTTTTTTAGATTACGTTTATCCAAATATTCACTCATCCGTCGAATTGCAAAGATTTGCGTGGATAACCTGGAACAGACGAGATCGATGTGCGGTGACGAAGTAAGTTCCGTATCCAGTTTAACTCCTAGGAGTTTGACAGGATCAGACGCAGGTTGACACTTGTCAGAGTAATTATAATAATAATAATAATGTTAATAATAATAATTATTATAATAATAATAATAATAATTATAATGATAATATATAATAGTAATTATCATAATTATAATAATAATGATTATATAATTATTAGTATTAACATTATTATTTTATTATAATTACTATTATTATATTATTATTATTATTATTATTATTATTATAATTATTATATATTATAATTATTATAGTTATTCTTCTTACTATTATAATGATTGTTATTATTATTATAATTATGATTATTATTATTATCATTATAATTATTCTTTATTATTATAATATTATAATTATTATAATTATTATAATATTATTATTATTATAATTACTATTATTATTATAATTATTATAATAATTATTATTATATTATAACATTATTATTATTATATAATTACTATTATATTATATTATTATTATTATTATTATTATATAGTTTATTTTATTATATTTTATAATCATTATTATTGTTATTATAATTATGATTATTATTATTATTATTATTATAATTACTCTGACAAGTGTCAACCGGCGTCTGATCTTATCAAACTCCTAGGAGTTAAACTGGATACTGCACTTACTTGGTCACCGCACATTGATCTCGTCTGTTCCAGGTTATCCACGCAAATCTTTGCAATTCGACGGATGAGTGAATATTTGGATAAACGTAATCTAAAAACAGTTTACTTCAGCCTAATCCACAGTCAGTTCTCGTACGGTGCCCTCCTTTGTGGGAGCGCTTCTGGATCTTTCAGAGCGTTCACACTCCAAAAGGCAGCTGTTCGCATGCCACCAGCTTTTTAGAAAACATCGAATTTTACCACTACCAAGTATTTTTATAATGAAACGCTTTACATATTCATAAAAACCTCCATAAATATGTAACGCATTCCGATGTTCATGATCATGATACCAGGTCAGCAAATAACCTCAGAGTTCCCTTTTCTAGATTACGTTTATCCAAGTTGAACAAGCCGGATGTCACATTATACAATTTATTTGTGAATTGTTATGCAGAACATGATGTGAAAAATTTGAATGTCAACAAATTCAATAGACTATTGAAGAACTTTCTCATAGACAAGTGTTTTTACAGTGTCGATGATTATATTAATTATGTAACTATATTTAAAATACAAAAATCTGTGACTTCAAATGTACAATAATGTATGTAATGTATTCAATAAACTAAACTAAACTTTATTATGATTAAATTTTAATAATTATTATATTCTAATATATTATTATTAATTATTATTATTATTATTAATTATTATTATATATTATTAATTATATTATTATTATATTATTATATTATTCTTCTTATTATATATAATTGTTTTATTATTACTATTATTATTATTATTAAATTATATTATTATTATTATTATTATTATATTATTTATTATTATTATTATTATAATTATTATTATATTATTCTTGTATATTATTATTATTATAATATTATTATTTATTATATTATTATTATTAGTA